CAGTGCATTCGCCCGGATTGCCAAGGGTGCGGGTTCGAGTCCCGTCTGCTGCCTGGTCCGCGTGGAATTTTTTCTAGTTATATTTTCTTTAGATTTAAACATCTAGCAGTTACATGCTTTAAAATTAATAAAAATTATAACTATGTGTATTATGATTATTAATATATTTAATATTTTGTTTTGTGTCATTATCAAACTAATTAATAAAAGTCAATTTTCATGATTTTTTGTTTCAATATACCCGACCGACCATCTTCTCGAAACAGGTATGCGCTGCCCCCTTCTAGCTGAAATCCTGGGTACGCCCTTGGTAGCGAGGAATTTAAGTTCACCCAATACTAACGACAGCTTTATCACCGAGGAAAATACTCTATTTTCGTACCATTTGCGAAAAAATTAACACAATAATAATATGGGATAAGCATATATTAAAAATAATGACAATTAAAAGTAAAAGTTAACATTCGAAACATTGGTCCAATTAAATACGGCCTCGTCGGTTTTCATAATTTTATTTAATCAATCATAACTGCACAATAAATGCGTATTCCTTTTTCAAAAAGATGTATAATGCTTTATATACAAACTCAATGGTGTAAACTCAGATGTAGTCCCCCTAGAGGTGAATGAAATTCAGTACAATTTTCTTTCCAAATTAAAAATTACTATTGTTATGTTCGTTTTTTGTGGCATAGAATGTCACTTTTTTAAGCAAGTGGTACGAAAAATATATTATAAATCGTGGAATAGTTTTCGGTAAAATGAAAATCGATATAAAAAAAATCTGTATTCTGATGGACACCCGCTTATAAGCGACCTCTATGCAAATTTTGTAAAGTTTTTACTAGCAATATTTGGAATGTAATGACATAATATCTTCATAGATGGCGCTAGTGATCTAATATTGCCATAAGGTTACATTACATCCCATCTATGAACCATCATTCGCGATAGGAGGAAGCGATTCTCGAGCAGTGAGTTTGTTCGAATCTCTCAATGAACTAGTTCGTTCTTTCACTTCATTAGTTCGCTGGCCAGCTCCCATTTCGAACCAGGGGTTACAGTTGCAATTGATAAATCGTTAAATTCTTCGTATAATAGAATAGGAAAGATGTTGATGGAATACTAACTTTAATAAAGTTTACTTTAAAAACACAGACTCAGAATTATAATTCTCACTTAATCTTGTATTTGATAGATTCATATTAAAAAAAAATGGTTGCCTGTAAAGTCGGTTTTACGGGCGAAGATTTTACGTGACAACGTCTTTTTCTCGGTAGAATATTTATTGATATGAATATAATTAAATTGCACAATAGGAACAAGGAATTGAATGAAAATAAGAATTGCACAAATTTTAACTATAGAAATATATTTTGTTTACTAAAACATTGTACATGTAAACTTAAACTTAACACGAGAGACTCATCGTAACGTTACCGAGCGTTACACTTTTTCATAAGTGACTCCCAGCCGCAACCTAATTTAAGACGTTGTCACGTCAAAAAAAAGAAACGTTATACCACTTGCACCACAAAGGTGGTCAAATATGTCATAGAATTCATGTTTATAAAACCGGCCAAGTCCGAGTCGGGCTCGGGCAAAGGGTTTCGTATTATTATCTATACAACATAAGACACTGTATAATATAAAAAGTAAAGCGAAAAACGGCAAAAATATCACGTCACCCTTAAATATTCATTATATCGTATTTTTAAGTATTTGTTGCTATAGAGCGATGATGTATTTCCGTATAGAAATAAATAATCTGCGAAAATTTCAACTGTTCAGCTAGTAGCTAATTACGGTTCATGAACCGTATCTCATGAGATACAGCCTGGTGATAGACGGACAGTGGAGTCTTAGTAACAGGGTTGGGACCTTGTTACTAAGACTCCACTGTCCGTTTTTAACTCTTTGCATATGGAACCCTAAAATAGCAAGTTTACATTATGTGTAACGTCATTTTAAGCTCCACCTATCTTAGTTGTTTTTGGTTGTGACAAAACATGACGAAAAACATGACGTTTTGATCAGAAAATACTTTTTCAAGAAATAAATAGTCTGTCTAATGAATCGTGACCCTACTATTTTTTAAGTTTTGAATATCGCAACATTAGAACTATCACTTAGACGTTACGAATTGGCAAGTTGTTACTGCAATGGGTTTTAATACTTTCGTATAATTGGGGACTTCTTTCATTTCTTTTACTATTATCATTAGCATGGCTGGTGGTTTCTTTCAAAAAGTGTAGACAATGTAGAAATAACAGAAATGATGAAACACATAATTGATCTTTCAAAATGTAGTGCAACAAATGATGACACTCAAGAATGAATATTTAGAACAGATATCATCAATATCAGGAACTTTGCAATCCTTGAAGCAGTACTGTACGCCGAATCTCACAAGATAAATAAATGCGTTATATTCACTCAGCTGCTTGCAGGACATACAAAAACAACCATGCCATTCCAGATATAATTTCTGCATTACCCTACAAACCAAAGACGTGCTGGCGAGGTGTGCATCGGCTGGAATTGAGGTGATTTTAGCCTGGGTTCTGGGCCACAGGGGTATCACTGGCAATGAAACCGCTGATATGTTTGCAAAAGAAGCAACCCAAAATGGAGGCCAGACACGTTACGGATGCTACCCCCGTGATCTCCATACAATGGTAAGACCCCAGATGTACAAATCGTGGGACACCCTTTGGAAACAGTCCGGAACTGTTAAGAGTATATATTACGGCAACTTACAGCCTGATATTCCACGCAAACCCTGGATTTTCGGCCGCCGCAACATGAATAAATTCATCACATCTATAATAATCAGGCTACGCCTGGGACACGTAAATACACCAGTTTTTCTTGCTAAACTCCGTATTCGGGATAACTCCTTGTGTGAGTGTGGACTAGAGGATGGCACCGTCGAACACATATTCTTTAGATGCCTGAATATCCAGGTACATTTATATGACCTATTACCTTAAAATATCCCTAGACCAGTAAATATTCCGTTCCTATTAACGCAGGTCAATACACCCTTTATTAAAGTCCTGGGAAAGTTTATAAAAGGTAACAACATTGTCCTATGATGTGGAAACTCTTTATATACTTTGCTATGTCATCTATTACAATCCAATGCTTGAATATACTAATATAGACACTTAACAATTTGTATGCTTGGGTACATGTTTGCTCGTGACGTTACGAGTATTATGTTTTCCTATTTTAGAATCTCAACTCCACGCGATAGCTTCACGAGGAAACCGGGCTACCACACCGTACAAAGAAGAATACTGATATTACAGTGCCTTTCTTAACCCTGACATTGGCAGAATCATCGTGCATAACGATGAAGCCATAATATCTAAAGAGGAAGTGGAAGTGGAGTGGGTGGGTTTTGGTACTTTTGTTTATTTGGATAATTTATTTCTTGTACTTTATCATAAACATAGCTGTTGGTTTCTTTTAAAAAGTGTAGATAATGTAGGAATAAAATAAAAGATGAAACGCTGATTTATTGATCTTTAAAAATCTAGTGTAACAAACGACGAGATGTTGTCACACGAGAAGAAATGGTATAAATATATATCTCCATTCTCCAATGATAGATATTTACTTTTCCCAATAAATTATACTTACCATTAAAATATTAGAAATATTTTTACTTAGGTATCATTTGATAAAATCTATTCATCAATCATCAAAACTCCTCTACAAATCACAGAGTAACGAGAAAAAAAATATAAAAAAAACCTTTATTGAGTACCTCCCCCCCCCCCTTTTTAAAGCTGGTAATATATTTTTTTAAATTAATTTTATAGCTATTAACGGGATTGTTCCCAAGTACCTTATTTTTTATGAGTCTCCGAATATATTTTCATTAATATGTTAATTTAAAATATCAAATCTATTACGTTTACTTAAATACAGATACAGAATTTTTAAATTTGGCACTATTTTGGAGGTTCAAGCACGATTCATTTTGATGTTATTTGATTTGAAGACTTTAGCTCTTATAATAAAAGACGTAAAAGTCGTAGCACAACCTCTCGCATATTCTGTGACCTAGTTCATATTTCGACTTCACTATAGCTACAGATACAGACAATCACAGGTCAAGTTACACTAAAATGGTGTCGATTCTAGCATGATTCTCTAAACCTAAACTTAAATTTGACAGCAGTATATCCTTGTCGTTCTCTATACAGAATGAAAAGGAGAGACTGATGTTAAATTTAGTTTTAAGTTTAGAGAATCACGCCAGAATTGGCATCAATGTCTATTTACTCTTACCAGCTTTGAGCTTAACTACAAAACAAATAAGGTTCATAATGTTGAGAAAATTTCACATGTCTTACAATAGTTTGCGAATTTCGAAATTCATTCATAGGACCATAGATTAGGGGAGTCCACTCTGAAAAACATTGATGTTTTTTTTGATTCGATACATCGTAACTATACATCTTGTGTCTTTCGATGTATTGGATGAAAACATCGATGTTTTTTTAAACATCAAGGTCTTTTTCCAAAATTTTATTACAAAACTTAACTTATGTGGAAAGTGACCCATCTCAAAAGAGGCCATCTTTTCATAGTATTTTTTTTTTACAATTGAAGTTCCTTTATGAAAAGAGCTAATTGTTTAATATAGTTTAGATATTCATCTTTCATAAAATAATAGAATTACCTTACTCCTTTCATAATGAGTAGGCAACCTTAAGTTTTTTTTTACTGAGGTCAAACCAAGGAGGATATAATCACTACGTGGTAAAAGTCAAACTCTATTACCAATTCGATGTTTGTTTTAAAACATTGATGTATCGAGTAATTATATTGAAAGCTTTTCAAAACATCGGCTGATTCGATGTTTTACATTGCAAAATGCAAACATCAATGTTTTCGATGTATATCAAATATCCCTAGTTCCCTACCATAGATTAAGTATTTTTTTATGAAGGACGAACGGAACACACGGAACGTAAACAGCGAAACTATCCACGCATTTTATATCAAAAACAATTATCTATAATAATTATCCCGAAAGAAGCATTTGAAGTATATAAAACTTACTGAAAGAATTAGTCTTCTATTGGAATAAATCTCTTTGAAATAAAATGCTGCGACCGATTTCCAAGATTAGCTGTCAGTTAACGTTGATTAAAAAATCCAAGGAATTCATCAGGACCAAAGTAGTTGGTCCCAATTCAATTCTTAAACCGGCAGAAAAGCTCAAATTATACAATAAAGAAAATAAGGAACTGTTTGGGCCATTACTAGAGACCAGCAAGCAAAAGAAACAGCGATCTCAAAAATCAGGTGTGTGTTGCGCTTGTGGGGTTTCGGCAACCTTGTAAATGCATTTGGAGTTGGACTTTCTATTTTAACGAATTTGGCTTCTGAATCACGAGGAAATAGTTGGCTGCGGAAAACTATCTGGCCTGAAGTATCATTAGAGTAGCAGTCCCACCAACATTTTGGTTACATTTTATTATAATGTATATTTAAATGTATTACTTAGTAGTTTACTTTTCGTAATGAGTATTGCAAAGTGTTTGTGTCGTGTCTTGCCAATTTATATCATATGACGCCTGGCGCCAAGAAGTGTACACGTGTATCAATATAATTTTATCTGTGTGTTCTAGCTAAAAATAGAAATTCACAGCAAAACAACAGTGCGGCTTCATCTAACGAGAATTCGTCAAACTTAGAAAGTTCCAAGAAAAATGATGTTTTGACTAATTTCTTTAGCCCATTTCTCACATTGGAAGTGTTTAAAAGGAAAATGTGGCAGAACAGTAGAAATTGTGTGAGTTTGCTTGGGGTTTTGATCAATAATACAACATGCAGAGGTCTCAAGACATTTGTCCCGTCCAATGCTGCTCGGAGTTCCCCAGCTGAGCCTGGATATGCGAGTGAAGATAGAATCCTTCAAATCAAACAACATCAAAATGATTTCACAAAGCAGTACCCATCTGTTACCCTGATATTGAATAAAACCATGACAGAAGAATCAAAAAATGCTTTAGAGAAATGGAAGCAGGAAAGAATAGCTGAAATGGGATTAGAAGAATTTAATAGGTTTTATGCAGGTATGTTGTGACCAATATAGCTTTCTTACATTATTAAAGACTAATAAAAAGAAGCAAAGATTATATTTGTGGGTTTGGTAGGGTGGCATTACACAATAATTCAGATATATTGTTTATTAAATATACAGTAGTATAAGTTGCAGCAAAAACTACAATTTCCATGGGTACATATATAAACCAGGACTTTACAGAGACCATTGAGTTACAAAAAAAATCTCTTAGCGGGAAAGTTAGCAGTAGAAATACTATTAAACCACTTGACCGTAATTCGAAGCTTATTATGAGATAGGCACTTCCGTTTCCGTCGACTTTTGTCTCATTTGACCTACTCTTTTGGTTCACTTCCGGTGAACCTCCCGCCATCACCAGGGGTGGGGAGATGCGCTTACGTGTTGGCGCGCTCGCCATTTTGAATCATTGGCGTTTTGTTTTCCGTCGAGTGAACTTGTGCGCAGCGAACTTTATACTAAATATTAATATTTTCACTCTCAAGTGTCTGTATTAAAAATATAATAAGGTAAAATAACGTACGATTCGTTATTAATAATGACTGAGTAAGTACTCTTATATTTATAACGGTTTTACCGTTCGTTTTTAATGATTTCTTTGCAAAATCATTTTGTTTTTGTAGAAACTCATTGACCTACTAATTTTAATTGTGCACTGAATATTATTATCTTTCCTTTTAAGTAACAATTAATAAAAACCTCTTATCTTTAATGGTTTTAAAGTTCGATTTTTATTTCAAATGGCGGTCATTCGTTTTTATAGTTCACGAAAATATTATGTTTTTAGTGTGGCTTATTTATTTTATAGAATTTGCTACATATATTATTTTATGAACAGAACAGTTGTATTAACCTTTTCCCATTTCAGTAATAACGTTGGAAATTTATCGGAACTTAAAAATGGAAATAAGGCTAATGGTGACTCCACTAGCTGCAGTGACTCCAGTACAAGTGATACTATAAGTTCCTGTTCTGAAGCAAGTATTCCAAAACGAAAACGTTGTAAGCGTCACCGGCATAAGAAAAATAAAAGTAACCGACTTTCTAATAGTGTACTTGAAAAATTAACCAAGGAGATGGGTGAGTTAAAAAAATTTATTACGCATTCTAATTCTGATGCGATGCATTACGAGGATAATGTTTCCGTAAGCTCTGGAGTTAGCGGGATGTTATATGATAACAATTGCAGCGATACTCATTATACGTTTTCTAATAATTATAATGAAGTGACATTAGGATTAGAGACTAAGCTTAAGGAATCATCCATTCCAAAAACACCGGATAATTTTTTAAAAATGCTTCTCGAAATTCAACACTTTAATGAAAAGTCTTGGTCAGAGGTTCGTTATGTTGATACTCAGAAATCATACATACACACCCCCGGGTTCACTGAACTAGAAGTAAATGATGAGATCAGCGCCTATGATACCTCCCGGCACTTAGCATATGCAGACAAGTCTTATGCTGCTTTAACCTTTTGTTTTTTAAAACAAAAGGAGATATTAGAAAATTCTCTCAGCAGTTTACTTACGTGGGCCAAAAATTCTGATTGTAATTTTTCTTCGCTTAATGATAAAATTAATGAATTGTTTTGTACCGGCGATTATTTGAAAATTTCTACCGATCTTTTACAAATGCTTTGTGGCCATAGAGCAGAAGCCATTGAAATGCGCAGAGATATGATAATAAAGAAGGTTCGAGATCCTTTGTTAAAAACTGCTTTAATTAAAATACCTCCATCGCCGGGGTATTTATTCGATCCGGAAAGTTTTACATCAATTTTGGAAAAAGCTGGAGGAGTGCGTAAAGTATTTTGGCCATTGATTAAGGATGGCAAAACTACAAACTCTTCGCTTAGAGCAGGTAGAGTTTCAAACCGACCCTCGCGGGGTTCGAGCCATTACAAATTGCCATCGCATGGTAATCAATCTCACAATTACCGAGATCAAGCGCGTAATGCGATGATACATAATGACTTACCCTCGCAGGGTCAGTGTGGTCACCAATGCTCTTCGCGAGAGCAGCCTTATGACAATAATTCTATACCTAGAGCTAGTACCAGTGGTAGAGGGTCATTTCGCAACCATGGCTCACGGCCTGAACGTGGAATGTATAACTCACAGCGAGGGAATCGTAAGAGACATTATTCCCCGCCAAATCACAAAGGAAATCCTAAAAAGCGGAGACAATGACTTTCAACAGTTCTACGCCGGCCGGTTAGTACAGTATTACAATCAATGGACAAAAATGGGAGCACCGATTGCAATTCTGAAATTATTAAAAGGATACCGCATACCCTTTGCTCAAGTACCACCCTTAATCACTGTCAATGTTCACGAAACTCCACATCAAACCATACCTTCAAAAGAAATGTCTGCAATTATAGACAAATTGAAAACTCAAGGTGTACTGACTGCAGTAAAGCCATCCCCAAGTTTTGTCTCACCGATGTTTTTGGTCCCCAAAAGCGATGGGACTTCCAGACCCATCTTCAACTTGAAGAGGCTAAACCAATACAGCACGTATTGGTTTAGTTTAGCCAACGTATTAGTTGGACCGATCGTTTCCGTTTGATAAATATGCACAGAATACCAGACTTCCTGCAACCCAAGGACTGGTTATGCAAGGTAGACCTCTCCCAAGCATATTTTCATCTGCCTGTTGCCAAATCTCACAGAAGATTCTTGCGAGTAGTTTACGAGGGGGAACTACTCGAAATAACATGCTTACCTTTCGGTCTTTGCACAGCACCAAAGGTTTTTGCTACTCTCACGAATTGGATTGCGCAATACATGCGAGAAAGATCAGTGAGGATCCTGGTATATTTAGACGACCTTTTGGTTGTAAATCAAAATGCGTCGATCTTGCAAAAACAGGTAAAAAATCTGATAGAGGTTCTGAAAGTTCTGGGATGGTGCATAAACACAGAAAAGTCGATATTAACTCCACAAAAAAGCATTACTTACCTCGGTGTGCTTTGGGATCCATGGACCAATCTGATGTCATTACCAACAGAGAAATCGGTCACCATCAGGGAAAAAAGCAACCAGTTACTACGAAAAGGATCGGCCAACCTAAAAGACTTGCAAAAAATAGTAGGTCTTTTCAATTTTGCCAGTTTTGTCATACCCCGGGGCAGACTCAATCATCGGCGAACTCTGAGATTTATGAATTCCTTCTCAAAGCATTCCACGAGGCATTGTCCTTTGCCGCCCGAGGTCAAAGTAGAACTAATATGGTGGATTCAGAATTGTTCTCAATACAGTGTGTTACACCATCCTCCTCCAGCACATTTTTTGACAACAGATGCGTCAGATCTTGCGTGGGGAGCACGTTTAAACAATCTTCTACTATCGGGTGCATGGACGGAGAAAGAACGAAAAATGCATTCAAATCAAAAAGAAATGTTAGCAATACTGAAGGTAGTTCAAATGCATGCTGGTTTAATCAAAGAAAGTATGGTGCTAATTCAATGCGACAATCGGACAGTCGTCTCATATTTACGCAAAGAGGGGGGCACGAAATCCCTTGCTTGTCTGGACATAACATACCAAATTTTACAACTTATGGATCAGCATCGAATTCAGTTTCGCATACACCATATTCCTGGGATCTTCAACGGTCACGCCGATCATCTGTCCCGACTTCAGAAATCTCCAGAGTGGCACCTGCTTCCCAGTTGCGTAGAAAAAGTGTTTGCGAAATGGGGAACTCCGGTAATAGACCTGTTCGCATCAAGACAGGCTCATGTTCTTTCAAACTACGGAACCCTGGATATAACAGACCAGAAAGCATTGGTACACGATGCGTTCAGCGTACGTTGGAATTATCTGTTGGCATGGATATTCCCGCCGCCATTTCTAGTTCCCAAAGTACTGGCTCATTTGAACCAAGCCTCGGGGATATACCTTATAGTGGTACCCAGGTGGACAAAGGTATTTTGGAGAGCAGACCTAAAAGCCCGAGCCCTAGCGCCACCGTTCACATTATACAATCTGAAGCAACAACTAATAGACGTGTCGACGGGCCTTCCACCAGCGAGAATAGAGGACATAGCTCTGGAGGTTTGGAAATGTGGGGGTGGACAAAAGACTTAAAAGGATGGGATGACAAGCAGTTATCGCTCTTAAAGTCTTCTTGGCGTTCCTCCACACTCAAAACATACAAAGTTGCCTGGAATCGCTGGTTGTCTTGGTGTGAAACAAATAGAATCAGTGCTATAAAACCATCCGCCTCTGAACTAGCTAAGTTTCTGGCGGATTTGCATTTAAAGTATAAATTGTCATTTAATACTATTCAGTTACATAAGTCCGTCGTCTCAACACTTAGTGATACAAGCTCTTCAAATAATTTAAGTTCTCACGTATTTGTCAAGCACATAATGAAGTCAATAGCTCTGACTAACCCAAAAACTGACAAACCTCCTGTTTGGGATGTAAAAATGCTTTTAACCTTTTTGTCTACCTATTCTTTTGATTTTACTAATGTCTTTAAAGCTGTACGGCATGCAGCAATCATATTACTACTGTGTTCTGGTAGGCGTATCCATGACCTAACTTTGCTTAATATAGATTCGAAGCATTGTATCAGATCTGATAATTCAATAATTTTGTGGCCCGTATTTGGATCTAAAACAGATAGTCGTGATCAACGACAGTCTGGATGGAAACTTTTTTCAAATCCGTCTAATCTTAAACTTGACCCAGTGGTTTGGATTGATAATGTTATATCGTTATTAGACGAAAGACGTAAAAAGGCAGATTCCAATAGTTTGTTTATTACCTTACGAGGAGAGGCCAAGCCAGCTTCTCGTACGGTTATTGCGGGATGGATTCGGACGATACTTAAAGAGGCAAATATTCTAGCCACTCCCGGCAGTGTACGTTCAGCGGTTGCTTCTCGTAATTGGTTGGACAACTTTCCCTTAGAAGACATTCTGGCACGCGGTAATTGGAAGTCTGCAAATACATTCAAACGTTTCTACCGGCGTGAGGTCCTGACTGATGGCGATACGGAAAATTCAAGTTTATCGGTTGCTAATTTATTTAATCCAGTACAATGATCTGATTCACTAATTATATGATTCAAAGTTATGTTGATCGCTTTACTAATTATAATGATTATATTATGAAGTCTTGGTTTTAATTTCTCTAAATATTCCTTTTTATTCACATTGGCGTACACTCCATCACCAGGCGATAACAAACACGTCTCATAATAAGCTTCGAATTACGGTCAAGTGGTTTAATAGCAGCGTTTTACCTGAAATAAAACGCATATTAAACTACTTACCTAATTCGAAGCTTACTTTCCAGCACTGCCTGGTGAATTCGACACAATGATTCAAAATGGCGAGCGCGCCAACACGTAAGCGCATCTCCCCACCCCTGGTGATGGCGGGAGGTTCACCGGAAGTGAACCAAAAGAGTAGGTCAAATGAGACAAAAGTCGACGGAAACGGAAGTGCCTATCTCATAATAAGCTTCGAATTAGGTAAGTAGTTTAATATGCGTTTTATTTCAGGTAAAACGCTGCTATTATAATCAATTTTTATGCAGAAATGTCATAAAAATGATTTTCAGTAAGATATTAATATGTCCATTCACTTATATTTATTTTTAAAAGATTTGCCTGTCAGATCAAATTCTCTCTCTCTAGTCCTCATTCTTTGCAATATATTTCTCTATAAGCATTAAGTATTTAGTACTTATTTTATTGTATTAATTAAAATTGAGACTATTTTATTTTTGAAGACTTCCGACTATAATGCATGTGGTCCTTACAAATTATTATAATATCATTAAGTTTAAGCACATTAGTTGATGGTTTTGTAAATTTTTCATTTGTTGGTTATCAATTAAATAAATAAAAACAGTATTCAGTCATTTTGGCAATTTACTGATATATTTTCAGTTGTTATAATCAAGGTGAATTTAAATTTTAAGGTCACATGTATATAGTTGACCTTAATATCTACAACTCTCACTTAAATATCAATGCTTTCAATAACATGGTTAATTGGTGGCTATTGGTACTTCTATTAGACTCATTGGTGAAATTTACAAATTATCAATATTGATTTATTATTTATATCTCTTTGCTTTAGATTTACCAAGTTGTGTCATGAGGCTATGTTATGATATGCATATTATTGAATTTATTTAAAGTGTATGAAAGCAGGTTTCATTTTCCATTAAGTACTTGTTTTGATTCAAGCAAGCATTAATTTTCAAAAAATGTCTGTTCTTTCAATTTTGGTGTACATATGCTAAGTATTTATGATTGATTAGACTGTGAGGGGAATGCTTTAGTCAAAATAACTATTGTGTTTTTATCCAAATATCTTGATTCATAATACTTTTAATATAACATTGCACAGTCTTGTTGATTGCTTTGTTTGTATGCAGAGACCCAGGCAGGAATTTTGATAGCTCCGTAATTATATCGCATTGTCAAAGTTTCTATGAAAACTAACCCCTATCAGACGTAAGAACAAACTGGCTACTTCCATACAAAATCTGACAATGTTAATAAAATCTGCTTTCATTCATTTAATTTTAAAAGAGTTCATTTTACTAATTTTGACAGCAATTTAAAATAAATCTGCTCTGTCTAATCTGTCAAGCATCATGCTTGGGCTGCAGATGTAGTTACAATATATCAAATTGCTTGTCATTGACAATAGTGTTCTGGTGTTGAATATATTTATCTATATCATAATTTTTTTACTAGCAGCTCTCAATAATCTTAAAATAAATAATTTTCAGTTAAGGCAATGTTAATTCATTAATTTTGAATTAGATACCTTAAATTCTTATTGTCAATCGCCATCCTTTTATGGGTTAGAAACTTTGGGATACTTGCTTTTATGAATATTTTAAACAAATATTGCTAATAAAGTTTTGCTTGTCTTTCTGGTGCGCATAATATGACAGAATATGAACCAACATTAAAAATTGTATCATAATATAATTCACAGCACAAATGGCAGTTGGCACTAAATTCCACTCCACATTAAAGAATTATTTCACACAACCTCAAACACAGCTTCGCATAGAGAAAGATGTAGAAGGAGTGTGGGTCTCGGTTGCTGATGTCCTCAAAAATATATCTTCACCCAAGGCAATAGAGTCCAATGTGGTCCATCCTCTGCTAAAATATAGAGGGATATTTGATGCCATTGCAGATTATGAGTAAGTACTTAATCTAAGTTTGTTTTTTTTTTTCTGTGTATATCTGCCATAAGTCTCCATGTAGACTATAATCAGATTCCTTGAAAGAATTTTGTGGATTTGCGAAAACTCCACATTAGGAGCAATCTCCCACTCCAGTCTTGGATATCACAATGTTTCAAGTGTTTGCAATAACTTATATAAGAAGGCTCCCTAGCTAACTCATTTGGGTGTTGCTCGATCCTAGATATGTATTTATCTGCTAACAGATTTATGTTAAATAAATATAATTATCTTTTTTAATATAATTATGAGGTACTTTCAAAACATTATACAAAGGATATTATTTTTTCTAATTATGCTTATCATTCTACATACCTATTTGTAAATTGTGAGTTAGATATGAGTTCCTTTATAACAATACCTTTATCTTTATTATAAAATAATAAAAAAACCAAGAACAATATTATCAATGTAATTATCTCTCTTTTACTCTTATGTTTTTAAACCCAGATATAATAGGCTTATTACAGTTAATATAGATTACTAAATAACAATTGTTGAATTAATTTACAAGTAACGAAGCTGTAAGACTATGTTATCAGACTTAAAACCTGGATTTGGACTTAAAAACTCAATTTGAGAAGAGCCCCTTTTATTCATCCATACTATTATTATAAATGTGAATGTGTAAATACCAATTAAATTCTATATAGTTTGAACTATCTAGTTCAATAAAGGGAAAGGAAAAAGCATAGATAAATGTTTGGTCTCGCTACACTCCGAGACCTATGGGAAAAAGAATGGTTTTTAACCCTGAAATCATCATGTAAAGTGGTGAAATACTTTTCACCCAATAGAAGTTTATATGGGAATCCAATTAAACCCAGGCAGACGATTTTGCTTGCACCCGGTATTAAATCATAATAAGTATAGACTGCCTAAAATAATGGCTACTTAGAAAGTAAGGAAAGAAAGAAATTATACTGATGTTTTACTAAGCAAAGATTTTATTAGAAGCAAGGTTTGGTTAGCAGCTTTGAATAAAATTTCGATGATATTCAGCTATGTGTAGGTTTACCTTGTTTTTAAACTTTGAAACAATCATCAAAACATTTGTTACGTAATCGGGCTAAATGCCAAGCAAGAATAATAACAAGAATAAGAATGTTATCAAATAATGAAATAAACAAACACGTAGATAACTCGCCCATGAGATAGTGATATTATTGCGATATTTTTCTAAATGCCTGGCCAAGCCATTTATCACTTGTCGTCTTTTATCGAATTTTTGTTCGATAGTGCTAAAGTCACTGACATTCAGTTAAGCCCTTGACTGCCATCGAGGTCAATAATCAGCGTCTTTATGAGATAATTTTTTTTCGCTGTTACTACAAAATCTACCTAATTCACGTGGGATTTGCATTTAAAATTGTATGAATTATCATAAGAATAGCTTGCCAACGTATAGAAAAATCTTACAGTCAATAAAATTCACACAAAACAAACAGACGAATTAGACGCCTCTGAAGTTGGTTTTTTTCGCTGTTACTACAAAATATACTTAATTCACGTGGGATTTGCATTTAAAATTGTATGAATTATCATAAGAATAGCTTGCCAACGTATAGAAAAATCTTACAGTCAATAAAATTCACACAAAACAAACAGACGAATTAGACGCCTCTGAAGTTGGCAAACATCTAATTATCAGGACTGAGAAAGTAAGAAAAACATACAACGTCAAGTTCCGTGAAAAATTCTGAATCTACCAAAAGCAAAGGCAATTTGGAAAACTATTATAGTCTGTAAGCTGGCGATTCGTTACTCTTTTGTAGACAAAGCCTTAAGTAAGGTAACTCTATTAATAAAACATAATAGAGATTAGGACTATTCGAAGCATTAAAAATTATCCTCGCCCCAACGATCCGGTGCTAATAAAATACAACATTAAAATAATATTATTTCTTTTCTCCACAGAGACAAACCTACTCTAATCGAGTGGAAGAAGTCCGACAAACCTCGAAAATCGATACTATTGACTTACGACAACCCCGTGCAGTTGGCTGCCTACTTCGGAGCAGTGTGCAACGATCTGAACTACAAACATTTGAACGTACGAGACGCACTGCTGGTGATCGCCTACACTGACGGATCCAAGGCCGATGCTTACCACCTCTCTACTGACAAACTGAGAGAGCATTGGGCTCAATGGCTAATCAGGTAAGTTTTATATGGATGATATTATTTATACAAGGCAGAGTAAATAATCCCACTCAAGCTTATGTCCTGTAACGATCTTAACTACAAGCCTTTGAACATGTGCGACTTGCATTTGGTGATTGCTTACACAAACGGATCCAAGGCCGATGATTACCACCTCTCGACTGACAAACTGAGGGAGCATTGGGCTTGATGGATGTTCAGGTGAGATTTTGGAGTCCCTCCATTAGAACTTAAAAGTGGAATGGAGAACTTAAAAGTAAAAGAGTTTATATAAAAATTTTTAAACAAAAAATAAAACCGACTTCAAAATCGAAAATGGAACTAAAAAGTAAAAAATAATGTCTGGTTCATAATTTGGAAGTCGGGCGGGTCAAGATTGAAAGACGTATTATTACCGATCAGAAACGACAATCTATTTAATGTTTCAATCAGGGTCAACCTGCCCGACTTCCAAATCATGAACCAGATATTATTTTTTACTTTTTTAGTTCTATTTTCGATCTTGAAGTCGGTTTTATTTTTTGTTTAATATTTTTTTATTTCATCCATTTTAGTGAAAATTACATCGTCCGAGTAAAATCACACAATTGACAGAGAAATCGATGAATATGCATAAAATACATCGTGCGTGCTTTTGAAATTTGAAGGTTTCCCTCGATTTCCCCGGAATCCACCATCAGATCCTGACTTGGTCTAATGGGACCACCTCGGAAGTGCACTCTTTCGAATAAAAAAATAATTTTGGAATTTTGTCCGCAATTGACAGAGAAATCGGTGAACATACCTTAAAATATATATATATACAGTCGAACATAGAACCTCCTCTTTTTTTGAAGTTGGTTAAAAATAAAATGTGGCTTATTTGAATTACATGCATAATCCCTATTAGATTGATGTAACGATGCATTCGCCGAAATAGCGAAGTGTGCTGGTACTAATCTAGACTCCTAACTTCAAACAAGTTAATTGCAAAGTCTATCATTTAATTCTATTATTCTTATTTGATTTTAAGATTGGAGCAGTTCATAAAGACTCACGGCGATGATCCGGAGAAAATACTTAAAGGTGGAAAGCGTTTGTTCGAAGAAGACATAGGGAATCTCCAATAAAATGTGGTAAGTTTTGTTACTAAATATTTATTATACTTACTTATTTCTGCTAGGTAGTCTAGCTTTTTCCCCAGTGTCTTACTATTATAGATTAGGTTATGTAGCCAACATTGTTAGCAATCGACAAATGCATCAAAATTTGTTAAGAAGTTTAAGCTGAAATTACAACTGCCAGGCAATAATAAACTAATAATATAATATAAATAAAATTATGAACTTGCACGAAACAATCAATTAATGCAGAATCTTAAATGCGCGTTTATATGACATGAAATGTCACAGCTTGTTGGCCGCCCGGCGACAGTACGGCGCGCCGCTTGGTGGCCCCGCCACTGCGAATCTGATTCATTTCCAGTTGGTCTTTCTTAAAATTCACACGAATTCGTTATGGACTATTTGACTAAGAAGAAGAAAATTATGATTGCATATTACTTGTACCACACAAAACAGAAGAATAAAACAAATGTAGAAGATTTTGGTTTCATCCTATTTTAGCATGGCGAGCAGAGTTTGGTGAATTTCATATGCTATACAACCAACTGCGAGAATATGAAAAACAAATCGCAGATTATTTCCGAATGGATGTTAAAACATTTGATACATCATTTGATTCACATCACACAAAACATTTGATGTTAAAACATTCCAGTGATCTGAGCGAGGCGGCCATGCGATCGAGGAGCGGACGCTGCGCGATCGCCGCGCAGTTGGTTACTCACAAAGAATTCCAACGTTAAGTCTTAGTTAATAAAACATAAATTTGCTATGACTGAACAGTTATTACGCGGCAACTGCGCGGTCATCGCGCGGCGGCCGCAACAAACTTTTGGCGTCGTCTAACTGCAGCTTAATGGTGTTACATCTTTGCGCACACCTTAGAAGGAAATATAATCTATACTAATATTATAAAGCTGAAGAGTTTGTTTGGTTAAACGCGCCAATCTCAGGAATACTGATTTAAATTGAAAAATATTTTAATGATAGATAGCCGAGGAAGGTTAATAACATCATGATAAGTCTAATACAGTCGGACCACGATATATCTGCAGTGGACTGACAGTAGCAAAAATTAAAAGATTGCAGATGGCAGTACTGATTATAGTTTAGTTAACTATTCCTGATACTTTAGTTTTAACCAAATTAAAAAAGGAGTTTTAGGGTTCCTTACTCAAAGGGTGTTAAGAATCAGATTAACATTTTGTATACAAAATGGCAGGAATAATAAATATTGCTAATGACTGTAATGTTTTAATTATTCAGTATGTTTATGTTTATCTATAAAGTTAATTATTGTAAATATTCCTGCCATCTAATATACAAAATGTTAATCTGATTCTTAACAAAGGGTAAAAACGGAACTCTATTGTTGGCAATCTGTCGTCTGTCTGTCTGTCCGTATGCCAGGGATCTCTAGATCTTAACATTACACATTTTATGTAGAATGCTTGCTCAAAGCCGAATATTTAGTTCAAAATTAAATTTCATTATTTCTCATGGGGAGTCCCATACATGTGACATATCATTGTCAGGATATTAATATTCTTACGTGTCGGGATGGGGTTCAAAATTATAATGTCAGTTTACGATTGACAGTTCTTTATTCACTACACAGTTCATGCAGTAAATACTGAATATTAATCACAATGCATTCACTACAGATTATATAAGTCTTTATACCATCGCACACGAACACTTTACTTGCACTTTGATCGCCTTGTTAATTGTTACGAAATCGCTGTTGGAAGTTTTTTTTTATAGCTAGGTAGGCAAATAACTCTACCCCACCTGATGTTAGTGGTGATAAAGTCCAGATCCACTGTCCCTTCCAAGTCAAGCTCCCTTAGACAGGGGTAGCCGTGAAAGTTGTCATTTTTAGACCCTTTTTGTTACGGGCTCTATCCCAAAATCGAAATATGCACATCATAATACCAAAATTTCAATTTTAAATTCAGGATTTAAACAACAAATACTGAACAATGATATTAAGTAGCTTCAATAAAAGGATTTTTTCATTGCACATTAATTAGGTGATGATCAGTTGAGTACTTTGGGAAACGAAACGAGGAAACTCCTCAATAGGGTATTTGACAAGGTTTAGAAAATGATCTCACGTTATTAACTAACTAGCTGTGCCCCGCGGGGTTACCCGCGGTTTATTAGGGATATTTTCCCGCAGTAAAACGTAGCCTATGTGTTAATCCAGGGTGGCAGCTAACTCTATATTCATCATCAGCCTATTAATGTCCCCACTGCTGGGGCACTTCCCTATGGATGGAATAGGGAAATTGGGCCATGACCCACAACGCGGGCCCAGTACGGATTGGCGGGTGCTAATGACTGCAGATCCAGCCGGGACGGATCCAACGCTTAACGTGCCTTCCGAAGCATGGAGGAACTTGAGATAGAAGTTTTTGGTCACCCATCCAAAGACCGACCACTGCGAAAGTTGCTTAACTTCAACCATCGCAGCCGAACACGCTAACCACCTGTGCCATCGGGCTCCTCCATATTAATGTTTTTTAAAATTGCTCCAGCCATTTAGACGTCAAGAAGTATCAAACATACACACTCACTCACAAACTTTCGCCTTTATAATATTAGTGTGATGCTTAATAATTCTGTTTACATCAAGGAAAGATTTGAAACAAAACTTGTATAACAGATAAAGAATGTAATGTGCTGCTTAGACCATGCAAGTCATTTATTGCCTCATTTTAATTGCATGCAACAGGCAAGAAACTTGCATCATATAAATGGTCATTAAGAGAACGATTTTAAAATCACTTTTGACTACTAGCTAGCTACCTACGAAAGACTTTTATTGAACGTTCGGATACTTCATTGAAAGTTTATTGAACATTTTGATTGTATGAATATTAATTTATTAAGTGCCTAGCTAATTTAATCAATAAACTACATTTATAATTTATTTTCTTTGTTACAGCGGAGTGTTGCTGTTCTATGAAGTTCCAGAAAAAACTCACGGTGAACAAAGTGTTAATGATCTATTTTTTCAACAATGTGTAAGAAATATTTATTATGGTTTTAAAGCTATTGATATATAATTGCACATGGATCTGCCTTAGATAAGATGAAGTCAGTTAATAAAGGAGTTTTTACAAATGAATCTGTAACATAAAATCTAACAGAGCAATTTCAATGAGTCGAAGACATTTTCAAGATAGTTTGACAACATCTTAAGCAGCAGTAAGTGACATTTGACAAAATATGAAAATATTTGGAAAGTATTGATTGTATGTTACAGAATCAACACGCTGTTTGGGAGCGGATTAGGCGTTTGTTGACTTAATACTGTAAAAATATACAACCAGAAAACACCAAAATTGCATTCAACAACAATTATAACCAATTGTTTGTAATTGTTACAGCCGTTATAATATTTGCAATGTATTTACATTGTTTGCAATGTAGAGTTAATTTGTACTTTACGTTGTAGTTCGACCACAGAGTCAACTAAGAAATAACGGAAAATATCAATTTATAAATCTAGTTTCATGTGGTGATTCCTTCACCACATAAAAGAACAAAGTCAAAGAAATTGAGTACAAAAATACTTTTAATATATGATTGTTGGAACATTAGGTAACTTTTCCTGTTACATGTGACAAAAGTATTAAATATCACAAGGTAAGATATTATTAAGGTCACATAGTAAAGTGATTTTTTTTCGTTATTTCATATTTGCCCTTATTCATATAATATAAAAGACATCACATTTCATGCCATAATTACATTAGTAAGTATACCTATGCCAATAAAATTCACAGTTGGTATTGTATGATAACTTATTTAACTTTTAATATAATAGGCATACGACAAAACAATGAAAAGCAGGATCGTTGTAATTAACTTTATAATACCGAAGTACTTGTCCCGAGAGATCAATATTCTTGTAAACATTTAGTAGTACAGTAAATGAAAAATTACACGTTTTTTGTAAAAGTACCAAATAAATCACATTAGATTTTAAATACTTGATAACATAATTGGTAGGTATATAAGTATTTGAAAATCTTATATAAATTGTGACAAATGTCCTCTATAAAATTGTCTAAAAATGTATGAATGGAAAGACTGGATTTTATTGAACGTTGTGGTTAAACGTTATGAATTGACCGTAGGGTAGTTTGTATAGAATGTTGAGTTTTTTAGCTTTCTTCGTGGGTATGATAGCACAGAATGATGTTATGCATTCATTGCATCCCGATCTGGCAACGGTATAGCTATGTGCGAAAGAAAGATATTGAATTTCGTTATTTATGTTTCATACAGGATCAGAACTAGGTAAGTATTAGAAAAATTTGAATGCTGTTGAAAAACATCACCTGAAATTTTTGCTATTTTTCGAAAAGTATTCTACTATAAGTAGGACTACTCTGACTCAGTAAAAACGTATGAAAATAATGATAAAGTGCATGACAAGATAAAAAGGTTTAAGAACATTAAGTCCGTTTATGTCATTCTTGTCTCAAAATTACATACATTTTAGTACAATGCAAAGGCTACTTTATCTCCACTACATAAGACTCATTTTCTTTGTTCCGAGGATAAAAGAAGTTAGAAACTTTTGTTCTCAGCGCTTATGGCAATGCCTCTGTTCTTATACTTCGGTGCACATTACTCATACAACAAAATAGTTTAAAACGGGTCACAAAGCGCTATATTTTAATTTTGCAAATGAACCTGAAATGTCAAATATCATTTTGACATTTGAGGTTCTTTTTCAATTCTAGGTGGTTACATAACTGTTAATGTTATTACCATCGCCCGTTTAAAACTGTTTTGTAAAAAGAGTTAGCAGCTTAGCTAGACTATTAGATATATGCGTTGGAGATACAGGCGTTTTTGATCGTTCTTTTATTATATGTAGTATGGAACATTAGGTAGCTTTTCCCGTGACACTAAAACGCTGTTATCGGTTTTGAAAGCATGTACTAAATAATATTATGTAAAGGAAGTGTCGGATGATTGCGAATCGTTAGTGATATATTTAAAGTGTCTTTTTCATGCAATTAGTTAGATGCATTGGAGCTCCATTGACAGAACTGTTCTTGGTGCACAAAAACCCGCGAAGAATGACTTTGTTGTAGTTTAAAGCTTAAGAAATGATATGATGGATTTATAGTTCGGTCAAATCATAACTAGTGTGATCATGCTTTTATAATAGTGAAATTTCAAAAAGAACAAAATTGTTAAACTGTGCCATTTATAACTGTGTTTATTATATCTTAATTAAAACGACGATTGATAGGTAAATGGCGGTTGTAATATCCTATTATTAATAAAAGCTTTTTTTCATATTGTAACCCCAGGTAAGTACTATGCTATGTTATTAATAATTTTATTTGTAATTTTCGATAGTGTTCGTTTAAATTATAATGTTATAGAATCATTAGATCTTTATAATTTTATGTAAGTTCCTTATATATGCCAAATATATGATTTGCCTAGTCAACCATCTATCTCGCAATATAAACTGTTTCCTTAATACGACTTGCGTGGTAAAACGTCTTTTACGTACATTAAAGTGAAACAAATAGCACACACTGATCTGAACAAAAAGTATTAAACGCTTTCTTTGAGCTATTTACTGTACCATTATTTAGCGCGAGTAATTTTTGCTTTACGATAGTACCCAAAGACGTTTTCTTTTCAATCTTAAAAGTGTGCTAAATGCACTTTTGAAAATCTGTTTCCTTTTGGGCTAAAATCTTCACTCAAAAATAATAGTACTTGTAATAATATGAGCCTTAATACTATAATGTAAGGTTCAATTTCTATATCAATATAGAAATTGAACTTTACTATGGAGCATGTAAATGATTAATAATAACTTGTTCCATGTGTACATGTAGGTATATGTATTTGTAATCATAGCATTTATTTAATAATACAATCATTCTTTGTATTAAAAAATATTGAGGAAAAATAAATACATATTAGAAAACAAAATTCATTTGAATATAGACTCTGATATCCACGAATAAAAGCACTTTTGCTATCAGCTCAGGCTCATTCTAAACGGAAAATATTAAAATGATTCTCAAATATTCTCAAATAAACAGTTAAAATTCAATTGTTAAACTAAAGTTTCGAATGGCGATTGTATATTTTTGGGGATAATTTTTAAATATGGTCCATTTAATTTTTTTTGAGTATTTGAAATATGTATATTTTATTAGAAAATAAATATGTTTTTAAGTATTTTTTCTATTATGTCAAACTTTTAATTAAGTGGATTTGTAAATCAGTTATGCTAATAATTTCTCATCCATACGAACCGACTCTAATAAGACATTGTTCGCAGTACTTCCTAATGATAGTTGTATTACTTACTTAGTTCTGCCTAGTGTATTATTTCTTTGATATTAAAGTATTTAGAATGTTATTATTCGGCATTTTCATTGTATAAAAAAGCTGTCCTTTGCTTTTCCCTAATATTGCTAATTCTTGTCCATATTAATATTACAGTGCCTAATACTGTGAATTTGATAGCAACTCTGTCTGTTAGGCATTTACGTAACCACTGAACCGATTTTGATGAATTTTACTTTTTTATTACTTTTTATCAACAAAAGAGTAACTTGAAGGAAATTTATTTACATAACTTATATGAGGAGATAATATTGCCTAAAATGTAAAATAAAAATAGTAGATTGTATGACAAGGGAGCAAAATAGTATTTTTATGACGAGGGCGCTACTATGAAGCAGGGGCGAAGCGAAGGATTCAAAGTCGAGGGATCGCCCGAGGGAAAAATAATTTGCTCTCGAGTCGTATACTCTACTTTTCATCCCCTTTCTATTAGAAAATAAATAAGAGACGGTTTTATGTAATAATGAATATATTTAATTAAAAGAAGACATGTGAAATGAAGTAAAAATAATTACAAATTTATATTTATATTGGAGCGCAATTATTAAAAGTTATTGTTACTGTTTTATTATCTTGGATCGATATTGTTGTGGATTCATTTACATTTTGAGTATTTGTTCTTTGTATCCGAGTGATGCTCAAGAAAAGGTACAGAATCCTTTGATGTATAAGGACGTGGCGACAATGGCATGGATGTCTTTAGGTATTAATTTAATGTTTTCTGCAATGCTAGTTATTTTCTTATTTTGAATAGAATCTTTGATGTAACCCTCTGTTACAGAGCTGGATTTCCACCTTCCGTGCCGCTTTAAAACAGTAAGGTCCGCTCCAGAATCTGCCAAAAGTGTAGCGGAAGTTCGGCGAAAACAACGTCCTCTGTATAGCTTGCAATCGGGTAATTTCAAATACATAGCGATTTCTAGGGGCATTAAAGATATTCAATTTTTTCCCATAACCTGTTTGAAGCACTTTCCATTTTGATATCTATTAAAAAATGTATTAGATGTTATATCAGAGGACACAGGCTCTGATATTTTTCTACTATTCGTTTGTACTGACCACAAATGACGAAAGACCGATCAATTTTGTTTTGTGTTAGTTAAATTCACTAAAAGTAATTCATCTGAGTGTTTTTTGATATCTTCGATTGTTATTTTATAAGCTCGTTCGAATATTAAAGCCACCTGTTACAAAACAGAATGGAAATGAGACAAGTAGGTACAATAATACGTACACGTTTTAAAAGTCTGTTTATAGATTACAATGGAAAAATAAAATATACATACTTTTGTTGCGAGAAATTCCTTATCAGGCGCGTCATTCAAAAAAGTCTCCACGTTTTGGTGAGAAAATACTTTCGATTTCTTTGGTTTGTGTCCTTCGTTCGAATAGTCTCTTCAGATAAGCTAGTAATTTCGAGTAGCTATCAATTTTAATAAATTTATTGGTATTTATTGTAGATTTAAGTATTGAGTATATACTCCAAAGGGTAGAAGGTTGCTTAGTTTTGGCAAATTCTTGAAAATAGGCCAAAAACACATTTTCCGAAAACGTTTTCGCTCCTTCACTGTTTTTCCATAGAATGAAATTGTCATAGGCCCGTAAATATTTCTCCCGGAATTTCATGGGTAATTAGTTTTGTATGACGTTATTAGCTTCTATAGTTATTGTTTCAGGAGTTAATGCATTATCACTTTCATAACTTCAGGTAGTAGAATTCATTATTTTTGCAAAATACAATAAAATGTGTGTACGTTGTTCGCTAAAATGCTGCGAGCGGTATACGTGCGGTCACTGCCGGATTTAGGGGAGGGCAACCGGGGCGAAAGCCCCGGGGCCTCCACAAACGGGGGCCCCCACAAAAGAGACTTCGGAATAAAAATATCTTTCAAATTCCAACTAGTAAACACTAGTAAACATCTTTTCGGTTCCGTTCGTTAACTCTAAGATTTAATTTCAGATAATTCTTGTTTCCGTTTATATTTATATGTGTTTCTTCAATACTAAGAGAATCTACTTGGTTCACAATAAATTATTTATTGAAAAACTCGACTGAAAAAAAATTGTTTACTTTATTTGGAAAATAATTTGGGGTGAGGGGCCTCCGCTCCTCTGTTGCCCCGAGGCCTCTGGACCTCTAAATCCGGCCCTGCGTGCGGTTTGCAGCGAGCCGACGCACGCTTACAAATGAGCTACAAGCGTACACACTAGAACCTCGTACTGTATCACGCATGTTATGGTAGCCATACACACTACGAGAAATTGTTACGATCACACTGTACAGTTGGAACGGGACAGTTTATCGTACGTGGCGTACGTATAGAAAACTTATAATACCAGCCTTACACACTACGAGAAATCGTTACGATCAGACAGTACAGTTCGAACGGTACCGATAAATCGTAGCGTGTATGTTATAAAACTGCACAGTTTTCTATACATACGCCATGTACGATAAACTGTTCCGTTCGAACTGTACAGTCTGATCGTAACGATTTCTCGTAGTGTGTATGGCTACGATTACGGTTACAGCTCGCTAATGAGTACCCGGCTAAGAATATACGAAACCACAACGTGATTCTGATTAGTGTGCAGTGCAGCATGCAGCAAATAATTTCATTCAAAGAATCACTGACGTATAGTTTACGATGGACAATTTACACGATAATTTTCTTCATTCTTAGGTTAACTATTGCGGTATCGGGCCGCTTGGCCTGTTTAGATGGTTGGTTTTTTCTTGTCTCAATAATTTTAGAAAACTAAGTTTGTGTGAAGACGAACTATGGGAAAATTTCTTCATAAGTAGGTACTTGCCCAAAATTAAAAAATGGGTTGGACTTTTTGTATTGAAATCAACACTTCGCATTTTATTGGGCAGCTTAAGATAATGCTGGTGCTAACTCGTTAGTAAGTTAATAATAAAAACCAACGAAAAATAAAGATACCTACACCAATAACACAGAGTTAACTATGTTATGTTTGCTATGTTTTGTAACAAATGTTTGATCAAAGCGGTGTCGTGTGTCCAAGGTAAGGTTAAATAAGTAGTTTTGATAGCATATCATTACTGTGAGTGATCTTAGCAGTAAAATGGCTGAGTCGCGTGCACGGTTTAACTAGGTATATAAATCGTATTTATTTTAAAGCCTCTTTACACATTATTAAGGTACAAGTTAGTTTATCATATACCCATATTCAAAATATATTAAGGAAAGAGGACTGCTCAGCTTCCATACATGTTTGGCCTAAAGACCAATAATCATGAAAAATTGTTTCCTAGATTCGAAATTATATATTACGGACACTCCTGAGAACTTCTATAAACCATATACACTGAATGATTTTCAGGTTATGTTTGCAAATAGGCACATAGGTATTTAAAATAATAAAAAACAAAGAAGTAATATAGTAATAATAGTTAACCAAAGAAAGCTAAGAGATTTAGGTTATAAAGCCATATCTTCAGTAGCTTCATTATTTATGTTGTATTTAAAATACCATATTTTAGATTTTTAGTGTATCACACCTTATAAGTAATGTGTTTGTTTATGGACGTCTTTGAAAAATGTATGGCAATAGACTTTATGATGTCGCCTACCATCTATAATAATTGTCTTAGCACATTTGCATGTAGTGAAAATGATAATATAGTTGTGGATATTAATACCACAGTGTAACACAAAAAATGTTTTTTTTTATCGATCTTTACAAAAAGATTTGTTTTGATGTTATATAAACAACTTTTAAGTTACCTCATGACTGAACTTCACCGCACCACTCACTCTGCCCTAGGGCAAGTAGTAATAATTTATGTTATTTATAAGGTTATGGATAAGTATATTGTAATAACCGTGTCAACAATTCGCGCCATCATAAAACAATTTTACAGTAGGTAAATACTTAATCACTGATTCTCTTTCGTTAATTTAGAACTGGAAAGGACATTTCATAGCCGCGGTACATGAATGATATGGCTAAATATGGTACTTATTTGTTGAATAAATACTTAGATAAAAAAGTAAATTCGAGAAAGTTTAACGTTTTTTATGACTTGATTTGTTGCTACTAAATTGTAACTACTGTTTTAAGTAAATACTCGGTCTGAAACAAGAAAAGGAAATTAAACCCCATTAAAACACTTAGGTATGATCCAATTAAATTCATGGACGATTATTTACAAACACTTCAAAACTAATAAACTTTATCAATGAATGAACTATCATTTTGATAGCCAGTTGTTCGCTCTTTATACTTGAGCAGTCGCAGTTACGGTTTGGGCATCGCGTAAAGCGCGCGCAACTCAACCATGCAGGCCACTCGGAAAATACTCTTAGCACAGATTAAAAACATTAAATGGCAAAGGTCGCTATCACGTAGTGCCATTGTTTTCAACAATGATTTCGAAATAAAATCTCCTTTGGCTGATATAGTCATGCCGAATACGACGTTCCTGGACCGATTATGGCGGGACAAGTCCAAATTCAAAAGTCTCGTGGCTCTGGTATGTATTCTGGTTTGTTTGTGATCAATTTCTGCTCTACTCTTGGTGTGATGGCGCGTAGCGGTTAGTCCCCCTTGCTGTTAATCAATTTGTTTACTCCAGTAGTGTGTCAATGTCCTAGTTTTAAATTTATTAGGCAATAGATTTAAGGAACGTGTAGGCGAGTACCTTCCTTAACTCACTCGACCATATGTCTGCAGGATGTGCTATGAGATAATATTATTTTGAGTCCATTGACAATCATGTTTGTATCCCAAGATTTGTTTCTATTAGCTCCGTAATTTGATTCTAATATAAATAATATTAGATTGCCTATTATTTATAAGTATTTTACAAAATGTAAGATCTTGTCTTTTCGTCTTCTTAACTTCAAAAGTCACAACTTAGCTACGTGAACTAGGTAACTTTTAATAAAATAAATAATTAGTAAAAAATGACAAGCCCGTGCAGCAGCTTAGAACAAGAACCAGGCAATTTTAATGCTTATCGTCTTTTTCCATCAGTCTTTGTTTTTTTTTTGATATTTTATAAATACAATATTCTTTAAAGTTGCAATTCTTATTAGTGTTTTTCTTTTACGAATACCTTTATTAAATTAGAAATTTGAACTTGACCTAGGTATCTATTGGCATAAAACAGTCGTTAGTGTAAGTACCTATTTAATTATTGTGTAATAGTGCAGTCATTGAAGCATTATTGCTCTGAATTTTTTTACTGTGAACCGAATTGCATACAATTTTGGAATTAGGTTCATCTTAACTTCAAAAGTGAAAATGATTTGAACTCCGCAGCCACCCTGGGGGTGGTTGCCACCCCTTCTCGGGGGTTTTTTTTTCAAAACAACCTCGGATACGTTTTATCGAAAATTTTATAAAGAACAAAATTGTAGCAGGTAAAACAATGAACAATTTGGTTTTTTATAAAGTATTCTAAATGCAATATTAAGCTAGATATTAAAGATCAAAGCCGTTTTGTTATTTTGTCTGAAATTTAATCGATGTGGTCAATGCCATCTAGCGGCGAGCAGATGCATTTTATGCATTCTAATACAAAAGGGTTTTGTAGTGCTTGAAATAAGCTTTAAAATGAGCACTATCAAAAGTCTTTTGCACGTAAAATAAGTGAGCTGTATTGCAAATAAGGGGAGCATCTAATGTTTTTTCTTTTAAATCAATGGGTTTCATAAGTGCCATTTCCACCAAAATTAAAATTAATCGTATTCCGCCTAGAATTAACTTTATTATGAAGAGTTTGATAGATAGTATCAGTTTGGCTGCTTCAGGACACATATTTTTCAAAAAAGTCACGATTATACGAATATACAAACTAGAAACATGTGGATAAATATTATAAATATGAATACCTATAACTGTTACTTTATTACAAAAAATAAAGATGTGGTTTTTGGTTCTACTACACCAATGGTCAAGAGATGGCGCTGTAGTCTCCTGAATCGCGCTTTGGTTCCGTTGTTCCAGATTAATAAATACTTTTGATATTATAAATATGAATACCTATAACTGTTACTTTATTACAAAAAATAAAGATGTGGTTTTTGGTTCTACTACACCAGTGGTTCTCAAACTTTTTAAATGACGGAACCCTTTTGGGAAGCAAAATACTTGATGGAACCCTACAATAAAACAATTATTTTTATAAGTGTATTCTATATTAATCAGCATAATAAAAGTACAATGTATCCGTTACTAATTATTATTTACTTCACCACTTGGTAAGGACAATAATAGAAAACATTAAAAAAGAAAAAATCTAACTAGTGGGAGGTATGAAACTGTTTTTTATTTTTCATCAATTGCTTGATATCAGGTTTGATGGAAGAAAGTTGGAGTCTCATATCAGCTTCGGCGTCCAGTCTATTGCGATATTTTGTTTTCGTGGCTGCGTAGGTAGAGAATCCTGTTTCGCACAAATATGTAGTTGGGAACGGGAGAAGAATATCCAGAGCCATTTGGCCAAGCATTGCATATTCATCTTGGATTCTGCACCAAAAATCATTAAGAGGCGTCGTTTTGAACAATGACTCCATACTTGTGTCTGATGACATTTCTAAAAGAGATTCATATATCTCATTTGACATGTTTTCAGGCTTTTCCAAGTTGGGTAAAAAAGGATTATGAATCCAGGAGTTCACTTTAATTTTTGTATTGTGTTCTTCGGGAAAATACTTTTCAAAAGATGCGCGCATCGAACTGAGATATTGGACCAATTCTTCAAACACATTATCTTCAAACATTTCTGAGTCGTTTTCGCTAACAAACTCAGTGAGTAACGTAAAACTTTCTATTTCTTTCTTACCAATGCAAATGATCCAAAAATCTAATTTTCTTTTAAAAGTAGTTATTTTATTATAGGCCTGAAACACTGTTGTCTGTTTACCTTGCAATGATAAATTTAATTCGTTAAGTTTTTGAAAGATATCCGCCATAAAAGACAATCGGAACAACCAAGTTTTATCATACAAACGGTCCTTCAAATTAAAAGAAGTATCTGCTGAAAGAAACATTTGTAACTCGGCTCTAAGTTCAAATAGCCTCCCGAGACAGCCATCGCACTTCTGTATGGAGCAGCAGTGTTTTATGTTTGCTGCCATAATCTTCACACAATAATGAGAACAATCGGGATTGTAGTGGTCGTGATTTGATAAAATTAATTATTTTTACCGCTTCATCCATAACTAATTTTAGATTAGACGGCATTTGCTTCATCGCAAGTGCTTGTCTATGCAGAATACAATGACTGGAACTACAATTAGGCGCTTTATTTTTCATTCGTGACACTGCTCCTGCTGTTTTACCTGTCATCGCCTTGGCCCCATCTGTACAAATGTCAATGCAATTGTTCCAACTGAGATTATGTTCTTCAAAAAATATATTTATTTTATTAAAAATTTCTTCCCCGGTAGTGTTTGTAAGCAGCGATGAACACATAAGCATGTCTTCTTCAAAAGAACTTTTATATGGATATCTCACAATAACCAGCAGGATAGCCAAACCAGCGACATCAGTCGACTCGTCCATTTGCAAAGCGAATCGTGTATTTTGTAGACGTGTAACTAGTTCTTGTTTGACGTAGCTTGCCAGATCATGGATTCGTCGTGAAACAGTATCGTTTGATAGCGGAACAGTAGAAAGATGCTTTGCAGATTTTTCATCAAGCATACATTTTGTTATGTCTAATACACATGGTTTTATTAATTTCTCAGCGATAGTGTGCGCTTCACCTGCTTGTGCAATGCGATAGCTAACTAAGTATGATGCCTCCGTGGCCTTTTCGTTGGTAGTTTGTGTTACATGCATCATATTTTTTTGACTTTCTAATAACTGATCTTTTTTGCGAACAAAAAATTCTTTATTCTTGTCTTTAGTCTCGGGGTGTACGGTTTCTAAATGTCGACGCAATTTGGCAGGTGCCATGGAACTATTAGGAAGCAGTTTACTACAGAGCATGCAGAGAGGTGAGCCGTTGGAATCAACAAATCCGAAACTGATATAAGATTCATCATACTTCCTTTTTTTCGTCTTTGAAACCGTCGAGCTTGACGTCGTGGCACTCGTGGCATCATCTTCTGGATCGGTGATTGCTAAATTCTCCGCGCGCATTGCTTTTGAACATTCAGCGTCATTAGAAGATGTTGTTGGAACACGTTTAACACCTTTAAGCCAACGTTCCATTCTTCTTTATTTATAATGTTACAAGTCAGGATAGTGGGGTTTAAATAATGCACAATCGTTACTGCGTATAAGAGACTAAATTTAGAACCTACAGGGAAGAAATGTATAAAACTGAGACAACAGAATACAGCAGGCAGTAAAACAATGAACACCAGTTTCTCGCTAGCGAGCTTGTAAGTAGGTAGTAACTTATCGCTCCGAACGCTAATCATCAACTGACGACGCCAACGCGCGATCGCCGCTTTTATACTTAGTCCTAGACTCGATCTCAAATATTCTCGAAAATACTCGAGTCGGCACCTTTGATAAACAAAAAGCAAAAATAAAAACAGAAATTTAAAAATAGCGTTGTAAACAATATCGACTTTATCCTTTGAAGTTAGAGACGAAAGTCGCTAGTTGACAACTATAGCGTCTAATTCAGAGGCGGCTTTTATCAAAGAGACTGAGCGCTTACAAGTATACTACCCGCTCGTTTTAAGTTTGCCGCTGGCGATAGGTATGAGTGTATGACGTTCGAAATTTTTTATTTAATTGTAACAATAAAAATTGTGTACGTTAGATATTTGGGTAAAACTATGACACATTATAAGTTTTGTTGTCACGTGGGGGAGGGTACGCGCATTCCACAGACCGGCAAACTTAGAGCGAACGCGTTGTACAAGTATAAAATTGTTGAGACCAAACTTATGAGATATTGTACCAGCTAATGTAACACAAGCTTATACAAATACAAATAAATAAATAAATAACATTCATAGCGTTTTGTCTCCGCGCGGCCGCGGAGTCCGCACAGCCGCGGAGCGACCAGAGAGAGGTGTTTTGATTTTTTTATTTCTAAATTCTTGCGGAACCCCGACAGAGGTATCACGGAACCCTAGGGTTCCGCGGAACACACTTAGAGTATAGCTGTACTACACCAATGGTCAAGAGATGGCGCTGTAGTCTCCTGAATCGCGCTCTGGTTCCGTTGTTCCAGATTAATAAATACTTTTGATAGGCCTTCACAATGCAGTCGTTAGCATCCACTAAATAGAGATTCTATTTCTATTTTGTTGGTAGATTTTCTTAATGTGCGGTAAACACAAAAGTAACTGTTAAGTTAATTTTTTGTGTTACAGTGATGCGCGCGCATCTTAAAATTTCACTCTCATCATTTTTTCATAACGCGCCTAAAGAAGTATAACTTAAAAAAAAAAACACTTTTTTTTTCATAATATCTCAAAAATTACGACAGTATAAAAGTGTATGATTTAAAAAGTTAGGTATTTTTCTGACAAACAATTTGGTTTTTTTGTTTTTTCTGTC